TACTTTGAAACTCCCGTTCTACGTCAAACCGTGTATTTTCGGGTTTCTCTGTTTCGAGGATTGGAACCGGCCGCGCACCGCGAGTAGAGACGGGTGTCGAAACACGCGAAACGTCGGCGAACAACGACTAATTTAAGACACGCGCTCAGGGGAACTGCGGCCGCTGGCTTCGCCGACGACGACTCGTCGCTGATATTCGAAACGATCGTTATCGAAAGGTCGCGACCGGGATTGTTTGGAACACCGCTAACGGTCGTCGACGATCGAACGGTCGGTTGCCGCAGCCGGTTCGAATCGGCGAGGCGTTCGCAATTATCTCGAATGGCCGCGACGACTAACGAGCACCGGCGAAAGTCGAGCTCAAATGAGATTCGGGCATCCTCCGGCTGGATTCCAGCTTTTTCTTTTATTGGAGCTTCGTTGAAACTCTCCGCGGGTAGTTGTAAAGATATACTTGACATTTGTATACATTAGAATCATCATCTTTTCGTGGAATATTGTGGCATACATAACGTTATACTTTTGGATTTGATTTTTGGGAAGAATGACGTGTAAGATGATACGTTCGAATATTCGTGGAATAGCGATGGTAATATTCAATGGTGGAGTTGGTTTGTGTTTGTTCATTCTTTTCAATAGTTCGATTCTCTTTAACACTTTGACGTATTTACTTTCGCTAATAAGCTCGTGTAACATTTTACTATCGACAATTTGGAAGAAATGCAACGAAATTTCCCATTCTACTTGAAGTGGAAATTTCATTTGAAGATAATAAATAGCAAAATAGTGGTTTGCTTTGATCCGTAGGTAATGAATAACCCTGATGGTTGTTAAATTGGTCTAGAAATCTTCATCACGAGTCTCACTCGTCATTGTACGGTAAGGAGTTAATGAGAAACACGGTTAAACTACACGATGAGGAGCTTGCGTATCGTAAGCACGATTACTTTTGAGCATCAGCACGCGAAGAGTGTACTGGAGCTTTTGAAGTAGGCTTTGTATATTTCGAGAATGCGAGAATACGTCAAAAGAAATATTATTCCGCTTGTAAGGATGACTAGGTTTCGCAGAACACGTACGTCTACGGTGACCAGCGGTTCTCGTCGGAACAATAAAGAAGTTTGCAGGCTCGATCAAAAGAAATCGATAATTCAAAGTACCGCGGATCCGAGCGTCAATAATTGAAGAATATATTTACACACGGCGTATGTGTTGTTCAAACAGTCTCGGTATAACCGGCAGAAAAGCAGCGGTGGAAAGTAAGAATAATAACTTCTTGACATAAAGGGTTGGGACAGAAAACAGATACCCGGTGATGGCTAATCGTGCCCATTTCTTCTGTTGTTCACCGGTAAGGATTTATTTTCGCTGGAACCGCTTTCGGTGAAACATACGGTTCATTTTATTGCTCGTTCTCTTTCTGCGTAACACATCAAATGATGTTAAACACCCTTCCCGCATATAATACAATTATGTCACGCGTTCACTGCCATGGAAATCGCGAGCGTTTTACTTAACACTTATTCTCTCGAAGCGAAGGCAGAAACGATTGTTAATTGCGTTACGATCTTTGCGTTAGCCTATCATCAACTCGCTTTATGAAACATGTTTATTCCACATCAATCATCTTAGGTATCACAAACGAGCAATTCAGAAGCATCGGTTATCAATAATCAGTTCAATTGCAATTCAATGAACCATCAATGTCCATACAATGTCCATCACAGTTACATACCATAAAATCGCATTTAAAGAAACAAAACGCCGAGAGGTTTTCTAAGCATCAAATCCTAAGGCAACAATCCCAAAAAACCGAATGCCTACACTAACGGTTACAATTCCAACGTAAAATACGATTTTATTCCTCAACTGTTGTTTTCACCATCTATTTGCCAGCGTAAAAGAAAAATCCGCTAACTACGTAATCCGTGCTCTCCGCCGAAAGCAAAACACACAAATAAACGATCTCACGGGGAGAGCGGCGCCGATCGCGCGTAGATCCTCCCCGGGAACGATCCAGTGGGGTGTAGGATCGTGTTCACGCGCGACGCGACGCGACGCGACACGCTGAGAAAAGTCAAGGTGCACGAGACACGGGTGACGTCAGTGGCGCGCTGTAACCCGTCAGAGTTTACGACGGTCGAGTAGACCGGTCGCTTATAATAGGCGGGTCATCGAGTGGAAGAGGGTTAAGTGACGTCACCTGTCCGATGACCGCACGCCTTGCCACGCGGTCGCCGATGTCATCGTCGCGTTTCTCGCCCGTGACACGCGCGTCCGTCCGCCGTAAATGGCGAAACGCTGAAAAGGAAACGCGTGGGCCTCGATTTCGACACGATATCACCGGTGATATTTTCCCCGCGACCCTCCCGCCGGTTTCCCCCATGGAATTTCAAGGAAAAATCGAGCCGCTGCGCCGCGCCGGTCGCTCCTAGATAAATAGACTTCGCCACGGGACGTCCGGGGGATCTAGGAAACGTTACGTTTCCTCCTCGTTACGATAATATTTACATTTTGCCCGGCATATTTGCATTTCTTCGCGGGCTACAACTATCCGGCGCCGATCTTCCGCGTGACGGATCGACGGATCGTTCACGGGATTTCACGGGGAGGCTCGCGATCCAGCCGGGAAACGATCCGATGACAATCCGGGCTGGCCCCGGGCGACGAATATGTAGCTTCCACGAATCGGCGAGGCGTAGCGGTTATGGGACGAGTTTTCTGATTCGTCGCGAGCCGTATAAAAGCGAAGCTGGGTCCTGGGATCGGGAATCAGTCGATCGCGGACTGCTGGAGCGAACATGATCAAGGTAAGGGATAGAACTTCGGGAACGATACGTTGGAGGCTTCACTTGGGGATTGTTGGTTATCGATTTGTTTGTTGAGGTCTTGTGTTTCTGTTATTGTCGTTGGTTGGTTTGTTTCGGTGGGAATTGACACTTTGCACTCTGTAGGATACAGTAATGTAGTTATAATATTAAATGTTTCAACGGATCTCAAGTACTCTAAGGTTATTAGATTTTCCATGCATCCAAATTTTGTGCTAAGAAGGAACATAAAAGAGCCGAGAAATGTTATGGTATTTTTAATTTTCGCTAGTATTGTAGAAATTGGAGTTGCTGATAGATTACAAAATCGTCTGGAGTGCTAAGGGTTAATAATTGAGAAAGATTCTGGAAGGGAATTGAGTTTCATTGGTTTCTTGGGGGATTCGAATAGATGCGCTTTATTTTCAGTTTTTAATCGGTGGGAATGGCGACGTAGATCGTGGCACGTTGTCTGTAGAGTAACAGTTGAAACTACTGTATGATAACGGGGATATATAGAGGCTTGAATATTTTTCTTATAGACATTTGCATCATGCTTGAAAATAGACTTAGTTGAAAGGCTAGAAAGGCCGACATTCGCAGTAATCGATAGCTCATGTAGATATAGAATTTAGAAAAGGATGTCTATTTCTGTATTGTTCTTCCTATATCTATGGCCTGCCTTTGGAACGAACGTAGTTTCTCCTTTTGGCGAACTGTTCGTAGCGAAACATCTTCTATGATTGATTTCTTGTTGATCCTTCGATAAAGGAAATAGATTGTTAACTAGATTGTTCCTAGAAGAATCGATCCATTTAGATCTTGGAAACTGGAGGTTTAAAAATACACACTTGGTATCTATATTCGTATAACTGCATCGATCAAAATCGACGTACACATTTACTAAATTATGCTCAAAAAACTCGATATGCGTCAAATTAACGCAATCGGTAAACCTAATGTTAACTTTAGATTTATGGACGTTTATTCTACACTTTATTCTATTGGCCCTAGAAAAAGTACGCATTCATTTAAATAGATCGCGAAAATTGTAGCTTAAAAACTAGATCATTATAATGTATATTCAAATACACAATTGAAATCAATTTAAACTGCTACTGAATAATGTTTAAAAAATTCAGTTTACGTCAAATTGACGCGTTCCGTAAGTCTAGTGTTAACTATGTTCCAAGTGGCTACGATCAAGAATGAATGTACTGCTTACGGCGTAAAATTGGAAGGGATACCGGAATTTCGGAATTATTATAGATCATAGTGTTATTACTCGGGATCTGCGAGGTTCTGGCAGTCCCGGAAACACCTTGGAGTCCCGATATATCACCGGGGATGGTCTCACCGCAGCTTCCTGGCTCGGAGAATTTAAACGAGAAGGTGTTGCCGCTTTCAAAGCTGATTCTTCGCGAACCACCCGGCTTTCCGGGAGAGGGGAACACCGTGGAGAAGATTCAGATGCCTTCGGAGCTACCCGGAACGAAGAATTTAGCTGAAAAAAGTATTCCATTCTTGGTCCTGGAGAAATTGTCGCGTCCTCTCGAATTCGGGACTGAGAACTGACGAACTTGATTGTTGAAAAAGGAGAAATACATACGAGTCGATTTAATTACTGTTTCACCGATTATTCAGCTACTTAGAATACCATTTCCTCGGCAGTCCTGAATCTTCCCTTTCATTTTGTAGCTCGTTTAATTGAAAACCCGACATTTGTCATTCTTTTTCTGTACGAACATCACATCGAAGAGAGATCAGAATTGTTGGCTAATCAGATAAAAATTTGTATTAATGAATTTGCAAAGCAAGGATGAAAGATGTAAAAATAGTTGATCGATATTATAAAGTATTGAGATTCATCGAGTTTCCACTGCGAGGGTGTTATCTTACATAGATAACAGGGAAACCTGCGATGCTCCATCTGTGAGCTAGTTTCGCCGACAACTTGTCGGCTGGTCTGGAACAAATCAGCTGGAATGCGAAGGGTGGGCGTGACCGTGGGTGGATTGTTTTCTTCGAGGAACTGTTCACCGCTTTTGCAGCGCCGATTCCTCGCTTTCATCGTATCCGCGCGGTTAGAGCTATCGATTGAGAGCAGCGGCTCTAGGCGGTGGCCGAGAGATGACTCTATGAGTCACGTTCACAGTACCAACGGAACTTCCAATAAAACCAACTGTTTTCAAACTAAAAACAACAAAATCGTCGTAAAGCGTACGAAACACAAAATGGGAAAGCATGGCTTCATCACTTTGTTCTACCACAAACAATCAAACATATATTCCAGAAATATTCGGCGTTCATTTATCTCATCGAAGATCATTTTCGAGGATGATAGAAAAGAAATCGGTCGAAACCAAAAAGAAGTCGAGGAAGCCAAAGGGAATTAAGGAAAATACCATCCCTTGTTCCTTTTGTTTTCCGAGGGATGGAAGGCAGGCGGTAAATCGGGTAGCAGAGCGCGGCGGGCAAACTTGATTGCGAGCTACGGTCGATTTGAAGCGTAACTTGGGAACATATTCGAACGAATATGGAGTGGCGGAGACCCGGTCGCGACGAGAGGGAGATTGGTTCGTTCGCGCGTCGTTACCGCGCGCTGTTCCGCGCGCACGATGAAACGAACCGATTGTGCACCGGCGATCGATTATCAACGCTCGACGATGGCCGCTTTCCTAACAATCCACCGAATTATCCGACCATACGGGTAATCGCGTTACTTCATCAATTATCCGCCGACGCTGCTCGCAATTAAGGCCGCGAAATACCGACCCGATAATCTTTCGCATCGGCATACGTAATTGGGCCGAGCCGATTCGAGTCCCTGCCGCGCGTAACAACGAACGGCCGGGTCCCGGCGTCCGCGCGCGCGGCCATTTTGTCGGGGAACGGCGGGCCCCGGGCACCGGCGACTGGCGACGACGCGTCCATTTTCGAACCGGGCGTGTTGCATATTCGACGCGTGTCGGTTGCGTTTGAATATATCAATTCCGAAGTGGCCGATAGTTCGGCGAATATGCAAATCCCTCTGTAACGATCAAAGGGGAAAATATATGCATATACACCGATTTATATACGTGTCGCGCGCCTTTTGATTTTCGATCGTCACCGAACTGTGTACCGTCCTCCGCGATCGCGGCCATGTTTCCATCCCGCGGCAACCGGCCCTTGTTCCCATCGCTACCGTACACTCTCCGGAAGATGATCTCGGGGGAAGTAGTTTCTTAGAAGATTGAATGACGCGTGTACCCTTTTTTTATCGTCCGCCGTTCGTATTCGAGCGGCGGCGACAACCCTCGGAGTTCGGGATAGGAAACGTATCCGGCCGGAACACCTTACGAAGTTGCGGAGTCGGGAAGGTGTAAATTGGAAAATTGCGAGTCTCCGAATATGAAATCCGGCCCAGATGTTCATGCATGAACATGCGTGATACATGAAAATCCAGTTTCCCGGGATCCGCTCGCGATCCCGCGCCGGGGAACGTGGGATCTCGCGTTTCTCGGTGGAACGCGTTAATGGGACGCTTCCCTCGGACTGCGGAGGAATCGAAGGGTCCAGGGAACAGACCGGTAGGATTGAATCCGGGATTTCTTGCTGGGCGGAACGGGTTTCGCCTGAGCTGTCCGAGCCGTTTGTGATCCTTCTTCTCCAATTTCACATAACGTAAACACGGAACACGGCCGACCGTGCGCAGCGACGCTTGCACGGCGGAAAAAGGAAGGGAAAGAACGGGAAGGGAGAGTATAGGGAGCACGGTGGACGAAGGAGAAGCGAGGGTGGAAAAGAATATGCGCATACGGTGTCCGGATGGAATCTGTGCCACGAGCGGGGCAGAGGTTGAACGCGCGGAGACAGGAAATCACGCGGCCGGAAGGAAAAGTTTTCGATAAAACGAACGACTCGGCTCTCCCGGCTGCCTACCTTCGAAGTCGCTGCCGTTGGACGGGAGTTGCTCGCAAACCGCGGTGAACGTTAATTCGCTTAACGGGCTCGTTTCTCGTTTTACTCGCACCTGCTACCCCCTGTTACTTGGCTCCTTCCCGCGTTTCTGCGTCCATCAAACCGTTTCCCCGAGCTCGTGTCGTGCTCCTTCGCTTGGTTTTATTGGTTGCGAAGGATGTGGTTTTGTGTGCGGTGTAAACAGATCGTTCGCATTGATATTTCGTCGCTTTAGAAAAAGCTCGTTGAGAAATATAAATGGGAAGTGGAAAACTGTTTCTTGGGTAAAGACTTATTACCGACTATTAATGGACTACTTTTGTAACGTCACTCGTGGTAATTGCGGAAGTTTTTCTTGAATAAATATTTCGTTCTACTGATCATTATTCCGTATTTTTATGTAGGTACTATAGTGATTCATTGGATTGAGTGGTTGTAAGATACAAATAACTTCGAAGGCCGAAAGTAATATAATTTTCTCGTCATCCTCGAGACCCGAAGGGCCGGCGTTGAACAACGCCTCAACTCTTCGCAATGCGAGCAACGTTTCCTCGAATATTTCATCAGTGGCACAGCTCGTCGAACCGCACAGTAATTGTCTGGGAACAATGATAACCGATTGCGCATCCAGCGCACGATCCGATGTCCCGCAGAAGTAACTAACGCGTTCGACCGGGTTCCCGTGGAAGACGCGATAGAATTATTGTCACGCGTATCCTTCAACTGGCAAGAATCTCCCCTGTTTCCCCGAAAAACGCCAGGCCGTAGACGTACATCGAACGCTCGCCTAACCGGATTTTACCGAAACGAACCGCGGAGGTAACAAGTGAAAACCGGCGAAGATTAAAGAGGAATTCCCAGAGCCGACCTCGAGTGATCTCGTTACTCCGCTTGTCTGATTTGTTCTATCCTGTCGATAGCTAGTATCTCCAGCCGTTACTCTCCGCTTTTCCCTTTGCGCGAAACGTCAGCGGCGGGGAAAAGCATCGCCGAGCGATTAATGGAAAAGTCTGCATCCGTCGGTGAACACTGACAACAAACACCTACGAATCTCCCTCGCTCTCCCAATCTCGAGATTTAAAACCTTAAAACATCCTACCTAGAAATAGAACGGAAGTCGCTCGTCCCTATCAGTAAGCTGACAAACTTAGCAATCCCCGATATCATCTACTTTCCTCGCGTTCTCCTCTTGTCGATCGTTGATTATTCGCGAACAGCCGGGACAGCTGTCGCGAGTTTCGATCGGGTCGATGCGCAAAGGAGGAACGTCGGGCTCCGCGCGTTACAATTTTACCGATCCACGGCCTCGCTTTGCAATTCCGTGAACGGTGGCTCCGATGGTCGGTCGGAAGCCCGTTAACGGGCGCTAATCGGGATTCCATGGGAGTATATGCCCCGTTTTCCCCTCGGTTTCGCAACCGTGTTTCTCTCTTCCTTCTCTTCTTCCCCCGTCAAACCGGCCCGGCGTAACTCGGTACAGGCCTGCCAGCTCGCTCTTGCTCTCCTCTCTTCCCCTTTCATGTCCAGATCGGACTATGATACACAGGAATGTCCGGGATGCGGAGAGCGATGGCGTAGGGCTCTCGGTTGACTCGGCACGGCCATTATCGTGATTACATTAGGTGCTATTCCGACGAGTAACGTCGCTCGCTCGCTCGCTCGTTCGGTCAGCCTCGCGACCACGAATCATCTCTCGGTTTCCCGAATGGTACAATTCGATGAAGCAAGCCGAATCTAAGAGGACCGACGGAGACGACGGAGTACACCGTGCCGGAACGCCGAAGCTTTTCCTTCTAGCTTCTCTATCCTTACTCTGCCTTTACCTGAACGCGTATCCTATTTCAACCGAAATTCCGTTTATATTCGCGATTTGATCGCCGCGGAATGCACTTTGACAGTTGCGATGTTTACTGTGGAATGTTAAGCGGTGGAGAAATATTGGGGAAGGTACGAAGTAATAGGCGCACAGAGATTCGCGAGTCAAATGCATCGATTGGTTATCTTAGTCGCATCTACGTTAGCTGTCTCGGAATTTCCGTTACCTTCGCTGATTCGTGTCATTCGATAAACTATAGACACTATTATCTAATGTCTCAAACTCTATTCAACGAAGATCGTTTCAAACAATATATATTCTCGAAATCCCTCAAAACTCAAATACTCAAAACAATTTCCTGCTTTCAAACAAGAAACAAAAAACGAACACTATAATTCATAACAAACATATCCTCATTTCGACCCCATATATCCTATAACCCGTCTCGCCTCGGTCGTACCGTAAATTTCCTAATTGCCATACTAGCAGAAGTAGCTTCAACAAGACACGGTCTGAACACGCTGATCGAGATGAAGCGTTGGTCACTTCAGGCGTCGCGATGGGAAAAGGCCGGCGACGGTAGGAACGCTCGCTAAGAGTTCCCAGCGGTAATAGGTCCAGGCGACGGTCGTTTATGCCGCTCCGTCCCGAGACTTTATTCCAGCTAGATATATTCCCGCGGGATCGCGAGACGCGGGGACCTAACGTTTTATAACTCGCCGGTTCTCCGGCGTGCCGTATAGCTGGGTTACCCGGCGACACCCGCCAGACGTCTACGCTTTTACGTTTTTCGCCCCGTCGTCCGCCCCCGACCTCCCTCTTCTCTCTCTTCTTCTCCTACGCGGCGTT